TAGGTCCCCAGAGCATGCTTAACAATGAAAGCAATATTCCAAGAGATGTGATAAGGCCCCCTACAGGCAGGCGTAACACAAATAGACAGCTGAAAGCTATGGATATATGCTGGAATAGTCAGCAAAGCCCTACTTTGCATTCCAGTACCTGGAGCAACTTGTGTGCATCTTCTGGTGACAACAAGAAGAAAAAGGGAATCCCCTACACAGGCAAGCGGGAGTGTACTTGTGATATGTCGTATCCCCATCAAGAAACTAGTATCGGGAAGAAGAAATGCTCCCTAGCTCATAGTGAGGAGGAGGAGGAGGACTCTTGCTGCCTTCACAGACAGAGCACTCAAAGCTCAGATTTACAGCTAAACAAAAAACGCCGTTCTGTTCGGAAACACCAAGCTTCTTGTGTCTTGAAAATTCCACATTCTCTGGACAGTTTGATCCTTGCCAAAAATTCAACGAGTCAGAAAGCAGAGGCACACACAAATAAAGGAAAACCAAGAGAAGTGGGAAAGGTTTGCAGGAATTACAATTTATTCCGCTACTGCAATTGTGAAGAGCAGTGTGGCACCGAGACACTCCGTGTGCCCCATCGTAAGAGAAAATCTCGCAAGCATATAAATAAAACATCTGATGTTTACAGCCAGATGAAACTTTTCAAATATACCATTGGCAGAATAAGCTCGAAAAACCTTGTGTATTACAAGCAACATAAGAAAAAGAGAGCTTTATGGATATCACACAGTTGCAGCAAATGTGGAAAAATGTTCTATACAAGAATCTTTATTCGGAAGCCTAGGCCCATCTTGCCTAATGTGGAACTGAAGCAACATCCAAAACACTGCTCCAAGAACAGAAATGAAATGTGTCTACCTTGCCAGAAAATAAAGACCAAAGTGCAGACAGATGCAAATGAGAGCTATGTCTGCACAGAATGTGGGAAGAGATTTGTTCTGCATGCTGTCCTTGTATTACACCAGAGGAGCCATGCTGAGGAGAAGCTTTTCGTGTGCTTTGTGTGTGGGAAGAGATTTGTTCAGCATTCATTGCTTCTGATCCATCAGAAAACACACCTAGGCAGAAAACCTCATCAATGTGTGGACTGTGGGCAAATATTTTATGTGAAAGAATTGTTTGCTGCCCATCAAAGAACACACAGAGCAAAGAAACCGCATCGCTGTGTGAACTGTGGGAAATGCTTTGCTGACAAGTCAACTTTATTAATCCATCAGCGGATTCACACTGGAGAGAAACCTTTCAGCTGCCCAGATTGTGAGAAAAGCTTCAGTCAGCATTCAACTCTAATTTCTCACCAGCGCATTCACACTGGTGAGAAGCCTTTTACCTGCCATGAATGTGGCCGGCAGTTTGGGGATCGTTCTGCATTTGCTAGTCACAGGAGAACACACACGGGAGAGAAACCCTTTAAATGTGATGCATGCGGTAAAACATTCGCCCAAAGCTCAAACCTCCGCAGACATGAGCGGATCCATAAATAACAAAAGCACTATGCTTGCTCAGAGTGGGCCAGAACCTTTAATGAGAACACTGGGCTGAAAGCCGATTTTAATGTTAATTTAAAGAAAAAAATTAAACAATCTATCTGTAAGCTTAGATTTAAACTGCTGCAATCTAGCTCTGAAACCACAACTCCCATGATGCCTTGCCTGCCCATAGGAATTATGCTAGTTAAAGATACATAACCGCTGGAAAGTAATCTCTGCTTTAAATGACCTTTCAGAAAAATAAACTTCTATTCTTGTTGTCAGAATAAAATTAATTTTGACATAGAATCAAAGTTGTGAGTGATGTTATTATCTACTTTTAGCTTGACGGGTAAGTGTAAGTATCTCCTTTCAACAGGTAAGTTAGTATAGGTGATGCTTATGTCAAGCATGTGTGAAGAGTGTGGCTGGGTAAAAACGTGATGTATGGATAGTTCCATTGTAGGGTTACTACTATTGCATCTAAATGTACCTAACCCTAAGGTAACCCACTGCTAATATCAATTCTAATATTTGAAATGGGTTTTACTATTTAACATGCAGTCTGTGACCGCCATCTACTGGCCGTCTTCATAATTACACTTTGTATAATGAAGTCTGGTTTCTAGGCGATTATACTGAGATTGGTGCTGGGCAGCTGGCAAAGCCCTGCATTAGTCACAATCCGTTGTGGACAAACAGGGAGGCCCTGTAAAGGTCTTTTCAGACCCTGGAGGGTTTCTTCTGAGCAGCCTGCTACTTATATAAACCGAGTGTGAGTGCTCAGCTGCGGTTTTATTATTGGAGTGAAACGCCTCTGCGCAGTGCTTGCTTCCACTGGTAAGTTTGAGGTACCCTATACATTGATACCTATGGTTAGTGGTGTGTGCAAGGATTTATCCCTATAGGCATTTCATTGGCTATGTAATGAGCTGCATCCATTGCTGCAAAAAGTCTGTACAAATGGCCCCAGCAGACAGAATATAGCCATGGGTATCCATTGAAACCTGAGGTTCTCTGCTCACACCAAATATACAGGGCTTCCATGCTTTCCTACAGGCATTTAAGCCAACTTTTTGTAGGACAGCAAGGAAGGTCCTTAAAGGGTTGAAGGGATACTCTGAGCACCAGAACAACCGATACCTAAAAAGGCAAATTTAAAAAAAAATGTTTTTTAAAGCAGTACGCAAATAGTTTTAAACAAATGAACAAACCAAAACAAAGCAAGACAAATGTTGAAAAATGTGTGAAAAACGTTTATTAACTCACTATAAACTTGGTTAGTGTGCATTGTTGGATTTACCTTTCCTCTAGGGGAGTTTGTATAACCTCCCCTTTCTTACCCACCCATCTCCGTTTTAGATCGGTAGACTAATCACACAAACAGTACATTATTGTGTAGCAGCAGGAGAGAGTAACTCGACACAGGAGCCAGCTCTGTTTGATCACACTGATGAGACTCTCTTTTTAATCCCCATGTCAGGATGTTACAAGGTTAATAGATCGTCCAAAGACGCATGTGTAAATCTGTCAGGCATACCGAGTGTCCATCATTCTAAGGGATAGGACACTGATAGGTTAGATCATTGCCCCCCCCTGGAGTGGGTGTAGAACGCATAAGAAAGAAGAAGTAGGTAAATATCTACCTTTTTTTCCCCCAGCCTTTAAAGTGAGGCAACTGTCTTATCCAAAGCAAACACTTTTGAATGAGAGCATTGTTATTTCAAAGTGATGCATGTCCCTTTAAAGAAGTGTTTTTTTGGGTGTGTATTGATTGTGTGACGGTACTCGCCATCACCAGAAGATTCAGACGAACATTTTATGTAGGACCCTGGACTACTCCTATGTCTGCCACCCTGTGCCCATTTATAGGTGCAGGGTGTGTATAATATAATTGGTTGTGGTTAAATGTTTTGTGTGCTCTCCTGTCCTGCTGATGCTTGTTACCATCTAGGTGGATTTGGCTGTGGAGCCTTTACTACACCCTCTACAGTGCATATAGCAACATCTGTATGCACTGCCTGAATAGCAAGGCTTGTTAATTTGCATATTCTACTAGATTTGTGTGACGGACCGCCTGGTACTCAGACCGAGTGCCTCCACCAATCGATGCTCCTAGTGCTCTCCAAGCACTCCACCAGACACCATCAGCACCGTAGACTCCCACGAACCGCCGCAGCTTGGTTGGGGATCTCGCCGTCCTCCACCCACCCTGGACCCAAGACCAGGATCCAGCTTCCAGTGGGTGAACCTCTCCTCCAAGATAGTATAGCTGTGAAGCTCTTATAAAAACTAGTGGTTATGGCATGTATAGCAGGTCCCTACAAACACAAGGTGAGACTCTATGTTGAGGGTAAAGCTGGAACAATTTTGGAACAAGTCAATCTGAATACCCGGAAGCAAGGGTTGATTATACATTGATTTTACTTTTTTTTTTGGTTATGCTGTATGCTGGGATACTTTGAGTTACTTGATCATCTGGAACATCACTTAGGAGAAATTCCACTTGCTGTGGATCGAGTACAAGTACATCTTTTAGATGTAATCTTTTATCATTTGAAAATTTGTGAGTGCAATATTATATTTAAAATGTTTAGTATCATCAGCAAAAAGACATACCTTACCATCAAGACCTTCAATATCACTAATAAAAATATTAAAGAGAATGGGTCCAAGTACAGATCCCTGAGGTACCCCACTGGTGACAAGTCCAAGCTTCGAATATATTCCATTGACTACAACCCGCTGTTGCCTGTCACTCAGCCACTGCCTTACCAATTCAACAATATTGGGGGCGGGGCTTGGCAACCAAGCTGAACGGTCGCACCCCAGACGAACTCCGGGCTAAACAACCTAATATCAGACAAAATTCCGTCCCGCATATTGCCTGCTTCCCAGAGTCAGAGGTCTACTATAGCGGCGATACATGATCAAGTCCTTGACCAAACTCGACGATTACATCCAGGGGAAAGGCCTGAGGCCTACACATGACCTACTCAGACAGAACGAGGGAGGCGGCCGATCCCTCCACCAACTGCAGCCTACTTCACTGTTGGTCTCCCTGGCACGCTCTCTCCCCACCCTCTTGCCGATGAGGGATATCCTGGGACCCACAGCCTGCAGCTCTGGTCTAAGGCACCAATATCCGCCGAACCAGCGACGCATAACATGGCAGACGCCACATGCCACCCAGATCCCCTCTGCCCTCATTGTCGGAACGGCTAGACTGCCTACTCGCCGACTTCTGGGACAAGCTCGATAACCGCAGGGGCACCCCAGCAGAGGTCCCACAGACAATAACTCCACGGGACACCATGCAGCAACCCACAGCTCTGGGACAGGCCCCAGGAGTGATTTGGATAGCGGGTAGAAGGAGGCGGGCGATCCGACGGAAGCTCCTGCACTTCAATCTCCGACAAGCGGTGAGTCGCCCAATGTCTCAGCAGAGACTCATTCCGGGCTTACCCCCTCAGTCCCCTACTCTCCATCGGGAGTTTACTACCCCACCTGGGAGATAGCATCATGCCAGAAGACCCCAGGCCCCCCAGCCCGGAATTGCTCCCTTACGGGACCTCAGATCAATGCTGGACTCCCCCATACTCACCATCTCAACTCATCAGACGTCTCCTGCCAACATATGCAATCATTTCTCGGGACTCCATGACCAAGATCTGCGTACAACCAGACTGGGGACTTGTGCAATCAAAACCTCTGACCGGATCTCGGATGAGAGCTGGAGGGGCATCGTTTGGGGGACCCTTGACATCTGCCTACCCAAGCACCGACACTACTGCAGATGGGCATCGGATGAAGCTGTTGCTGGACACAAGCAAGAGATCAAGTGGCACCGGCCGTGGATGCAGAGTATTGTCATGTGGACTATGTACTCATTCAATTTATGCTCCCACCTGAGCTTTCCAATAACATTGCAAGCACTATATAATATAAACACGCTAACCTTAGCTTCGCTATATCAAATGCAGATATAATTACCCTTTAGTTCCCCTTTCTCTCGTGCATATTCTGCAGTTCAAGTGATCTACTCTTAGAGCTAATTCTATACTGTCTAGTTATACCCACTCTTGTTTATAACTCTCACCAATACTAAGATAAGAAGTAACTTCATGAGAAGCGACATTCACCAATAAAACTGTGCAGTATTATCTAATGCCTAACCAGTGGCGGCTCTAGACTTTATGAGGCCTTAGGCGAAACTCAAACAAGAGGCCCCACCACTAATACTCATAGTAAAAAACATATAGGGGTTGCATCGTGTGTATAATGAGCTGTAGTTATAATGTATGACAGGCTTGCAGTGCTGGATACTGAGAGCTAGTCTCTGTATTCACTGTTGGGGTGAGTGTGGCACGGTTGAAGGAGAAAAAGTGACAGGGCAAGGGGAGGTAAGAGTGACAGGATGAGGGAGGGTTATGTGACAGGGTGAGTGTGGCGTGGCTTGGCAGGATGAGTGACAGGATAGAAGTTAATGTGATAGGGTGAAGGGGGATAAGTTTGACAGGGTTGGGGTTATGTGTTACACGGCTGGAGGAGGAAGTGTGACAAGGCGAGGGAAAGTGAGTCGGACAGGATTATGTGACAGGGTGAGTGTGGCATGGTTGGGCACAAGTGAAAGGGTTGGGGGTGAGTGTGACAGTATGAGAGAAAATGAGTGTGATAGGGTGAGTGTGGAAGAGCGATGGCTGGTAATTGTGGTATGGATGGAGGGGGTGAGAGCGACAAGATTAGGAGAGGTTAATGTGAGCGAGGCTGGGTGAAGAAGGCATGACAGCATGTGGGGGGTGACAGTATGTGTGGAATTGTGACGGTGGGTAGGTTAGAGTGTGGGAGGCAGTGTTGGAAACAGTGACTGTGTGGGAGGAGTGACTGTATGTATTGGTGACATAGTGTTGGGGGCTGACAAAATGGGGTGCAAGTGTGTGAAAGGGTAACAGGGTGAGGGAGCAGTGTGGAGGAATGTGACAGTTTTGGGGGCAGGGTGTGAGTGGGTGACAGTGAGGAGGAAGATGACAGTGTGGGGTGGCAG